CTGGGGCGCTGATGACAGCTACGACTGACTGAGGCGAGCAAGACTAGAGGCCAGTGGTCTGTCTGTGCAGGGGGGCACTGGTTGGAGCTACGGACTGCTCGAGCGAGTGGGGAAGAGGGCCAACAGTTTGTTTGTGCAAAAGCAGCGGCACCGGCGGGGCCGAAGAGCGACAGGGGGAGCAGTGAAGGGAGCGAGCAGCCTGTCTATGCGGGAATGGGGGATCAGTGGGGCCCGCGGCCTTCTAAGAAGAGCAAGCAAGGTCGGCTTACCCGGGGCCACATGGTCAGCTGAGACGGCGGCTGGAAATAGGGAAGGAATTGATCAGAGATAAACAACACCTTAGGCGAGGTATAGCCAAAGCACCGCTCGTCGTCGGATACAACCACGCCTTGGCGGCACACCTGAAATCAGAGATGGATCAAAACTGCTTAGTAATCAACACTTGCAATTATAAATAAGATGGGAGCAGAGGTTAGACTAGGTAAGTAGAAAATAGACAAGGATTAAAGATAGTGGAAAGGAAAAGGCAAGAATTTGAAATGTTGTCCAAAAAGGAAGGAAAGGATTAGGCAGGGATACATTAATAAAGGAGAAGAGGGGCCAAAGCTTCTGCCCCAACTGGCTCGGTCCAACAGGAAAGCTGGACCGGTCATTTGTTTACCTCGGCCCGAGCCCGAGAGCCCCACGTCAGTAGTTCTTCGTGGTTAGGCGAAGTCTAAGTCTCCTTAGGCGTATTAGTCAACTTGCAACTAATAGGGTTAGTTTCCTCACAGAGAACAGTAGCATATTTCTTTTGAGGTGATAATACCCACTTTTATCTATTAAATTCCTAGAAAAAATTTTTGCCATCCTTGATCTCAAGTGACAACATACTTTTGATAATAGTTTTTTACATCGAAGTTGTTATGATCACTTCTAATGTATAAGATCTAAATTATTTCCTTTTTTTTCTTCCTTGATTTATTGTCATCTTCCCGATCGAGACTTCTGTGATAATCCTTTCCTTTTCTTCTTCACTGCTTAACCGCCTCTTTCATCTATTTAAGGAGGATCAATGTCGAAACGAGGGCATCAATCTCTTTTCCCTCGCCTTCTCATGCAGTCACCGAAACCTTTGCCAACCTCCTTCACCCTCTCGCTCGTGGTTTCGCCTAAAACCACTGCCTTAATGATCGAAACTTGCAATACAATAGGGATTAGAAGTTGCCGAGAAGATTGTGACGGTATTGTGGTATACCACCGAAACTTCTACTTTTCTCCTCCTTTGAATCCTTGTGATACAACCATGAATAGAGCCAATGGTGAAGATAATGACAAAATCGTGGCATATAGAATCCATGGAAATCTCTCTCTTTCCTCTCTCTCCACTGGCAGCCGCTACCTCCCTTCTTCCTCTTTTCTTTGCCGATCGAGCATCGTAAGGCCTCCTTCCCCTCCTTCCTCGCCTTCTGAAAATTTGACCTTCCAAAACTCTCTCTCAAAAAAAAAAAAAAACCAAAATAAATGTAGAGAGACCTGGGGTGTTTTCCGAATTTAAATATGTTACTATTATATACTGAATATTCAATTTTAATGACCAACGTTAATAAAAAGTGCTCTCCCATTATCGGGAGGGGTGATTAACCAGCGGGGCTTCCGTTTATGGGAAATCTCGAATCCCATTTCAAGAAGTCCTCACAAAATGAGGGTGAAATCTCTGAGTGATGTCTTATTTACAATCCAATCAGCCTTTTGAAAATTTGACTCTTCAAAGCTCTCTCAAAACAAAAACAATAATAAATGTAGAGTGACCCAAGATGCTTTCAGAATTTTTGGAGCCCGCATTGGTATATATTTATATATGTATATATGTGTATACATCTATATATATATATATCTCTCAAAACAAAAACTATAATAAATGTAGAGTGACCCAAGATGCTTTCAGAATTTTTGGAGCCCGCATTGGTATATATTTATATATGTATATATGTGTATACATCTATACACCTAATAATAATGATGATATATCCATTATAACCAATTTTATAAATAAATAGGTTTAATCACATAATTATTAAATTTTGGGTATTCTCATTTGCGTAGGACTAAGCATGAATAATTTTGAAGTTTCACATTCATCTCGAGGTAAGTAATTGCTCTTTATTAAGGTTTAAATTTACCCTTCCTAGTTAAGGAAATTATATTTACTAATTATGTTAGATTCCTAGTTATTTGTAGGTTTATTATTCGTACCCCTGAAATTTCTTTCATATATTTGCAACAGATTTTATTTTTGCTAATACTAACTTTAATGTGTAATTAATATTATTTTATTGTTGCATAGCCTTTTGTTAAATTGTTCATCTTCCATCATTTCAATATTTTTTATTTCTTTTTTTATTTTGATGTGATAAATCTCATTATTCAGTTTCATAATTATTTATAAATACTGGTGAATATGTTGCAGTTATATTTCTGTGCTTTGGTTGTGATGAATGAAATATAACTGTTATTATAATGTTATTATGTTGGTATTGTGACTAGCTGGATCAAGATATCCTCAGAGAAATCAATCGATTTCTATGGGATTAGGGTCTATCTCTTCTTATTTTAGGATGTCATAGAAAATGGACTGTATAAATACACACACATAAATACACACACACACACACACAGATATATATTACACTTGTATATTATCATGTAATATTAAAAGATTGTTAAATCCTATTTATATACACATACGTTACACACCTGATGTGGTAACTTATAAATATTTACATAAAAATATGTGTTTAAGTCACTCTCATTCATGATCATAAGCACGTGATAATAATTTTACAGATTTTGTTATGCATTTAATAAATCATTTTCTTTTTATTGCTCAAACTGTATACTCCATTTTCTTTTTTTGTTTATGTTATAATAAATAACTGTTATTTATTGAGTTTGATTTATCAAAGTCACCTGATGATATTTTTATATAACATGTTCACTCAAGCACTTACTAGACCGTCACCATCAGAACATACTTTTCAATTATAGTTATTTTAATTTGTTTTATGAGTCTAGATAATTGTTTCCATATTTTCATTTTAATTTCTTTCAATTATCTCTTTTTATTTCAGTCGTATCAGTTGGACTCTTATTTATGGAATAAAATTTAGTTTTTCATATCTCTTTCTGTTATTATTTGCATACCCTTTTTCTTTTGAGAATACAAAACGCGTTCAATTCATTTCACAATGCCCTACTTTGTCGGGGCGTACTGACTTTTAGTCCTCAATATAATAAGTTTGTATGAATGAGATGAAACAATGTTATCAAAGCGCTGAGCGTAATGCGTTGTGCGAAGCTTTATTTTTGCTTCAAAGCGCAAAGCGTGGAGTGAAGCGACACTTTTCATAACCAACACACTAACAAGTTATATAAAACTGTTAATGTATAAATATAATCACAAACACTTATAAAACATAAAGCATGACTTAAAAATTGATATAAAATAAAAAAAAAAATGTGGTACAATACCTAAATGAAATGCAAACATTGAGATTGAAACTGCAAATTAATAAAGTATGGCAAGTTTATTGCAACCAATCTGCCTTGCTTGAACTAGAAGTGAAAACTGACCTAATGCAAATACACATTTGACATTCCTAGAAGCAAGCATAAGAAAATTAGCAAAACCATGGAGAACCTACAATATTTCCAAGCTGCAATGGACCAAACTGCCTGCTCCTATGCTTGAAAACTAGTCTTACAAAAGTAAGTGGTCATAAGAAATCATCTCAGTTGAAGAACTGAAAGGTTCCATAATAAAAGCTGGCATAGTGAACACGTCATATTATTTACAATCTGATCAGCGAACATTAAAATTGTTTTAGAAGAATTTTCTTTTTTCATTTTTATCATACGCGTTCCATATAATTAGAGGAGCATCATTTTAAAATGAGCACCATTTTTAAGAGATTTATATACACACAGCATAAATCTTATGAATTTTTATACATATAATATTTAATTTTTAAATTATATATTTTAATATTTATTTATATTTAAGTTTAGGTGTTAGATATGTAAATACATAAGAATTGAGTGACATGTATGTAAATATTCCTAAAAAAATTAATTTAAGTCACATTGGGCTCCGTTCGTGGGTTTTTTGCAAGTTCGATTGAGCGGGTTTGGCGAGACGGGTTCTACAATCTTGGCGTCACGCTTCGTCGATGTTCAAAGGAGTGCTGCAAGCTTGGCGTGCTCCCTTTGGTCAAATGTCAAGGGAGAGAACGATTCAAACTAGCTTCAGTCCTTCAAAGCTCGCTTCACATGCTAAGAGCGAAGCAAAGAGCAAAGCAGTGGACACCGCTTTGCTTTGCGCATGAAGCACGTTTTTAGAAACATTGGGATGAAGTTATTATGCATTGTGAAGATAAATGACATATGGTGCTATTGTAAAGGTCAATCTCAACTAGGACATTTTAAGATTTTCCAAAATAAGTCTTGGACTTTGTTTAGGTACATAAATAGCCACCTTATGTTGGTAATTGCTGTTCTCCTTACTGAGCAACAGGTCTTGGAGATTACTTAATATAAACTCTCATTTAGGTCATCGTAAAGAAAATCACCACTCACATCTATTTGTAGGATAATCCATTTCTGATTGAAAAATGATTCTAATTGAGTTAGGTCTAGCAACCAGGGAATATAGGCAAAGCCTTGGACTTGTATGAATTTTTTAGAAACAATTAATGTTTTCCAGTATTTGACTTGGCCATCAAGATGGGTAACAACTAAGCATTGGGAGGAGCAATAACAACATCAAACGTACGATGACTTAATAGAGCATCTATTTCAGCCTTAATATCTTTTTTCATAAATGATTTTGTAATGCTTCCTTGATAGAGATAATAAAAGGTACAAAAGGAATCTAATTAATGATCAAATAATATCCTGGTGTCGATGTGATGAGCAATACATTATCTCGTCTTTTTGCAGGGAAATTGATGAATGTAGATTAGAAAGCTCATTAGCTAGTAGATGCTCGGTTAAATCTAATATTTTGAGTGGAGGAAAAGAAAAGTGTAGTCTAATTAAAGTTATATTGACTAACATGTATTGTCGTCAAGTAACTAAATCATGACACTGACTATGTTGTATTGACCATAATCATATTTTTGACTGAATAAGTCTACAAAATGAATACATAAGGAAACAAATAAGGAGTGTATCGATCGATAAGTTGATATAAAAACATATCTTTCTATTTGATTGTATCCCAATACAATACTTTTTTATAAAACATTTTTGTTAAGAATTATAATAGGAAATAATTTATTCTTATAATAAGTTATGAGGAATAAATTATTTCCTTAATATAAGTAAATATTTACTTTCCTATTTTATATTTATTTACTTGGATTATGAATTATTTGTTTTCCTATTTTATGCTACCTATTTTATGTTATTTCCTATCTCTCCTAATAATTAATATGAATTAATTGTTAGAGATGTCAGGTGGTATATCTTTCCTTTCATATCATTTACTTTTTATTACTATTCCTATTATAGGATTCCTGTAAGGGTTATTTATACCCCCGTTCATATCAATGGAATAATGAAGTATTCCGCATTATTCTAAATTTCAACATGATATCAGAGCAATGTTTCATACTCAGCTACCGACTCTCCTTTGAGAATTGCCAGACTCCTTTCCTGTCATCCTCTGTATAGGAAGGGAGGAACTCTTATCTTGGTATTTGAAACAACGATTTTTTCTCCTTCTCTCTCTGCAAGTTTTGTCTGCTGGCCGGCCCTTCCTGAACCGGAAGTCACGTGACCTACCCGTCTTGTTCTGCTCTCCCTCCTCTTCCCAACGCCAGCTTCTTCCACCGGCGTTGCTCGCCGCTGGCCTCTCTTCTTTGTCATCGCCTGGCGGCTTCCCCATTACGCTTAATTCCCACAAACTTGCAGCCCAACGAGCATAATCGGAAGGGATCGAGCGCAGATCTCACACGCGTGCGGGGATGCACCCTTATCGCTAGGACGTGGTTGGGGCCGCTCGTTGAGGAATAGCATTCTGACGCTGTTGATCACATACGTCTGAACTCCCCTGATCTCCAGAACCTTCTGGATCTTCGCCAAACGAACCACATTGTGGTAAGACAACCGTCGTATCTGAATCACATGATGCCTGACATGTAGCTCCGAGCGACAATAAAGGCAGAATGCACTAGAGCAGGCGTCCCTGCAGTCGAGACATAACATGTTGCGTTCGTTGCGCGCGGTGTCCTCATGAGTCAAACAAATCAAGAAGACGGGGGTCGTGAGCAGGCGCTCCAGCCAGGGCGACACCAGCGATGCCGCCACCCGCCTCATCATCATCTCGCTGGAGATATCGCTGCCGTAGATCGAACAATGCCGACAAAATACATCGCCGACCCTTCCTTCTGTAGTATTTTTTTCCCTGTCAAAGCGTCTGGGGGAGCTGCGTTTCCAGCCGACCATTTCTCCTGCAGTATTTTTTTCTTCCCTGCCCAAGTGTCAGGGAGAGCTGTGTTTCCAGCCGGCCATTTCTCATGAAGTACTTTTTTCTTCCCTGGCCCAAGCGTCTGGGGGAGCTCTGTTTCCTTCTTTCGCAGCTTTCTCTGTCAGTAGAATTTACTGGGTGTGATTTACATGTTTTTTTTCTGTAGCCAACGATAACCGCGATTAACTAAAAATCAGTTTTCCTGTAGGTTGTTTCTTTCCCTGCAAAACTCAAAATTCAGCCAAGCCTGAATCTCTCTTCTACGCCGAAACATATGACAGACAAAACTCAAAATTCAGCTAAGCCTGAATCCAACAAATTCAGCCAAACCTGAATCTCTCTTTTATGCCGAAACATATGACACAAAACTCAAAATTCAATCAAGCCTGAATCTAGGAAATTTGATAATCCAAACGATCAATTTTTTTTCACTACACAACAAGTTAAGAATTATTAAACATACATTCCAAATTTGAGGAGGAGTGTTAAAAACTATAATAGAAAATAATTTATTCCTATAAAAAGTTATGATGAATAAATTATTTCCTTAATATAAGAAGATATTTCCTTTCCTATTTTATATTTATTCCTTTGATTGGAAATTACTTGTTTTATTATTTTATGTTATTTCCTATATCTCCTTATAATTAATATGAATTAATTATTGGGGATATCAGGTGATATATCCTTCCTTTCATATCTTTTTTTTTATTATTTTTCCTATTATAGGATTCCTATAAGGGTTATTTATACCCCCGTTCATATAAATGAAATAATGAAGTATTCTGCATTATTCTAAATTTCAACAATTTCATTAACCGTATTGAAACTTTTTGTACTTTTTTTTATTGAGGTCGTATTTGTGCTGAATCATATATATATATATATATATATATTCATTGATCAACTTGCTATCGCTGAAGCAGGTTCATTTGGACTACCTTATTGCAGGTGCAAACATTATAATTTCAGCATCCTATCAGGTATGACACTTTCTGTTTTCATAATTATTTACCATTTCATCATTTATTAGTAACTTGCCCTTTTTGCTTTATGTAGGCCACAATTCAGGGCTTTGAAGCTCGAGGATTTTCCAAAGAAGAAAGTGAAGCATTAATGTTTAAAAGTGTCAAAATTGCTTGTGAAGCTCGGGATATATTTCACAATATTCATCCTAATGGTCCATATACTTTAGGTGCGGGCAAAGCCAGCTTAAGAAAACAGCCTATTCTGGTTGCAGCTTCCATTGGAAGCTATGGAGCATTTCTAGCAAACGGTTCTGAATATAGGTGTAGAATTGTTTAGGCAAACATTGCTTTCTCTTTAGCTCTGCTTGCTTTATCTATTATTTGCCAAAATTTTTTGTCTTTAAAGATTCTTATTTTGATTTCTTATAGTGGAGACTATGGAAAAGAAGAAACTTTGCAAACTTTGAAAGATTTTCATAGGAGAAGGCTGCAGGTTCTTGCAGAATCTGGTGCTGATCTGATTGCTTTCGAAACAATTCCAAATAAAATTGAAGCTCAGGTACGTCATGTGCGCTCTTTTGGTTATGGGCTGATTTTTCAGCTTCCATTTTATGCGTGTTTATTTTCTATGGATATCATCTCCATTATAATATGTTCAAATGCTAAACCAACCACTAGTAGTCTGATGGTGAGTGGTGCTTCAGATTCAACAGATCGGATGGGGACTTTATAGTTCTGATATGTGAAGAAGTTTAGGTCATTTAAATGGTTATAAAAAACAGAAAATAAAAGGTGCCTCCGATGCAGTGTTGGTTCTACTGGTTTATTATGGAGCTGAGTTGTTACTGCAGATAATATTTTTTTTTTGGAGTTAGGAAAAATAGTGTTTAAAGCGTGAAGAGAACCTCCGAATAATGCTATTCATTCTGGATTTCCTTCAAAAGTGCTTTCCATTTTTTAAAATTTTTCACGCTATTTCACTTTAGAATTTGTGCTTGTGCTTAGAATAATTTATTTATGAAATATTTCTCTCATGTTGCAGGCTTATGTCGAGCTTCTCGAAGAGAATAACATCAGGATTCCTGCTTGGTTTTCTTTTAGCGCTAAAGATGAAAATAATGTTGTTAGTGGAGATTCGATACTGGTGTGTGCTGCTGTCGCTAATGCATGTGAGAAGGTTGTTGCAGTTGGTATCAACTGCACTCCCCCAAGATATATTCATGGGCTAATTCTTTCTATCAGGAAGGTACGTGTTTAGATGAGCAATCCTTGCAAGGCTCAGCTATACTTCATAATAGCGGATTAGTCATCTCCTGGCAGTGCTATCTATTGTTCTCGTATTTTTCCTCACGTCTCTATCCAATAAAGTTGCATGAGAGTTCTAAAGAAACATATAATGTATTCCATTAGAATTGTGCAGGTTTTTGTTATCCACGTTTCTTTTATTTTCAGAAAGTAAAAACATATTTCAGAAACGTTCTGTAAATTTGCTTTTGATTGATACTTTCCGAAACCAAAATACTTTATTATTATTTTATTCATTTTGATCACCAATTCCTCTTCATCTCCAATGGCGGAGCTACAAAATATTTTTTGGTGGGCACAACCCGGCCATTTAAAAAATACCCTCAACTTTTTATTATAATTTAATAGTTTGAGTTATATATATATAATTTTTTTTTTAAAAGCCCAAAGAATAATATATTAAAGAGAAAAGATACAGATAGGTTGTTGGGTGGGCCTAAAAATAGACACTTAACCCACACGATACAACACATCCAAAAAAGTTAAAAAGGGGTACATATAAAAATAAAAAAAAAGCCCAAAACCACCCGAGCGTTGAAATAATGAGGTTCATGCCAATCTTGTTCTGCCTCTGGCTCTAGTTCTCGGAAGGAATCCAGGTAGCAGATTTGTAAGGTGCTTACCATTACCCGACGCAACCAAATTATCATTAATAAGACTCCTGAGCTCAAGTAAATCTTCATTCTTCTTCTTCTTCTTCCTCATAGAAGTGTAAACCTGTCATTTTTCATCTGAAGAATCAGTCGGATGAGGTGGTAGAGCTGAAGCAGAAGAATTACCAATCGTAGTACCCACAATAGGTTCTAATATTTGTGAAGTATGGTTGCCTCTCCACCGGATCTGAAGAGGAGCTGCGAGGTTCTCCTGATTATCAATCTGAATACTGTCATTTGTAGGTAATAGTCCGTCAGTATTGTTTTCTATGGGGTTTGAAGGTGTCAGTATCACATCACTCGCAGTAACAATAACAATAGTGTCAGAGGGGGGGGCATAGGGGCAACAATATCCTCCGCAGGTGAAACTAAAATGTCCAGAGCAGTGGGGTTAGACCCATCCTTATTCACTTGAACCTTAGCTTCCAAATTAGGATGAAACTTGTGACATTTATTAATGATATGTCCAAACATTTTACTGTGGGTACAATATGGGGGTCTGTATTCCATGACGATTTGTTGCCAATATTCATTATGGGTTGTGCTCAGCCAGACTTCAGTAACATCAGTTAAAATAATATCCTTTTTCACAAGTATTCTGGCTACCGAAGGTCTGGTTAGGTTGAAAGTATGTATATCTAGCTTCAAAGGATCCCCAAGAATGACTTTAATAGAGTAGAGAACCTGATGATAAAAAAAATGCAACTTGAGACCATGTAGATTAAACCATACCGGTACAGTGAGAGTTTCATGATTTGGGTCAGGAGATCACGTGAGTAACTTCATTGATTTGCCTGCGATATTAAGTTATTTCTTGGAGAAAATTTGAGTGTAGTCTTTAACCACTATTAGTTGAATTAACATGTCTTTTATCCATGAGTCTCACTTTTCATTTGCCTACTAGCTTAAGATCATCAACACTCTTTCTGATAACATCCGTAGGTGGGTGCCCCTATTGAAATTTTTCAATAAGAGCAAACTTGAATTTTTTCGTCAGGGTAGAAATTTCCGAGTAAGAGAAAAAAATTGTTGTTTTTCCATCTTTACTACTTTTCTTCTTAACAAAAGGGTAATCATCTGTACCATCGCGACTATCCTTATAGCTTAAAGGGAATACAACCGCGGACTCCACCTGAGGGTTACCCACGATGTGGGCAAAGGAGGCCTTTGCCGGCTCACCCAAAGAAGAAGGAAGAGCCATCAGAGCAAGGGGAGGTGCCGATGATCACCTGCAGCGAGAAGCAGACAAAACGACACTGTGTCGGGAAGCACGGTGTCTGGCTAGAGAGAAGTAGAACGACGCAAAAGCCAGACACACGCCGACGCAGAATTGCGATCGACGATGCCGACGTAGACGCAGACGTAGACGGGAGCGAGAGTCGACGAGTCGACGAAACGAGTTGCAAGCCCCTCTCCTTCGTGCGGTGGAATCAAATGCGAAGGAAATCTTCATTGTAAACCCTAGCAGAGCTCGAGCTTTCGACCGCGGCCGATATCATGAAAAATACACATATATATATACATATTTTTCATATATATAAATTTATTTACTTAGATCGTTCTGTTGCTTTACTTTCAATCCTTTTCTTTGCCAATTTTCATGAATGAGACGCTAAAAACAATTGTTTACCTTTCTGGAGGAAATTTGACGATCTTTTTAGTTATTTTGAACAGTTCAATTGAGATGGCCTTGCTTTTGCCATTTAATGGTTAGCGCTGTGTGTGTGTGTGTATGCATATTATTTATTTATTTATTTATTCTTTTTTCTGTTTCATAGGCCACAGATAAACCAATTGTAATATATCCTAACAGCGGGGAGCGATATGATGCAGATAGGAAGGAATGGGTGGTGAGTTTAATTTTTATCGCTAATCATCTGAATAAACTGGCATATTAGATATTTCTCGTCTTTTGAAGTACATTGTGATAGTTTATCTTCTGTGGAGTGCATCCCTCAAGCATAACATGAGACAGTCAAATTGCATTTGCATATCAAACCTGTGCACGTAGATTTTTGTAATTTTATCTACAGTTGATTATTGCTTTGCATCTACCCTTTTTATAGACCTTAGTCTTTTTTGTATGCATGATAGTATTGATTTTATTCCCAGATCATATACCTAAAACTGTATTCATTTCGATGTACACATATTATTTTGAGTTGGGCTAATCAAGTTATAGTAAGAACTTGGATCCACTTTGACAAATCATTGCCTGAACTGCTTGCAACCCAGCACTCGCCAAACTTAAAAATCACCTAAAGTTTCGAGTCACCTAGAATAGAATGTCAAGTTGCCCATATGTGGGGCCTTATTGGACGCTTAATATTTAGATATCAAAATTGCTGAAGGGGCTTATGAAGTTGCTTATTCGTCAAGATTATTTACCTAAATAACTCATGAACTCATTAAGAGTACTTGCCTTCTAATTAAGGGTTCTTGTTAGGGCTACTCAATTTCATTTCGGAACCCTTCAGAGATTTTTAACTAGTAGTAAATTAGAAGCCAACCTCGCTCGCTACACAACTACTTACACTTGGTCCATTTATGTACTTTCTTAGCAATTTATTTAGACATCCAATTCTATAATGTTGACCTTTTATTCTCATATATAAATAGAGTTATTGTTCCTGCTCGGGCATTATGCAATCTCAGGCTAGCCAAAACTCTACCATGCCAAAATTGTTGGTTCCAATTTAATGGATCGCTGAAGGACAAATCGAAAGAAAAATGTGATTGGGCTTTTGGGAATTCTCTTTTTATTATTTTGAAGGAGTGAAAAAATATAAGTCTGGAGTGTGTTTTACAATGCAACACAACACCTAATTTATACTAAAGCATACCGAAACAAAAAAAAGAAACATACACAATAAAGACAAGAGAATTAAGTGCCATCAATTTTGCGCCTATTTGAATTGATTACATATATTTGAATTTAAGATTCAAATTCAAAATTAATGCTATTGTCATATCTCCTATATTTAATTTAAAATTAATGCTATTTATTTCACTAATCAACTTATGCCTATTATGAAGCCACTAATTGTGTAATCAATTCAAATTACCAATTCAAGATTAGTCTCACAATCTCCCCCGTAAGCTTGATTTGGTTCGAAGTTGTTTACGGTTCGAAGTTGTCGCATTTTCGCAACTCGCATTTTCGC